AGGTTCGACTATCCGACGGACCCTCCTCTCCAGGACCCCTGAATAGACCTTACCAGGGAGGCTTAAGAGTGTGACCCCCCTGTAATTGGAGCACATTACAGGGGGGTCACATTACACACATTACATTACATTACATTACATTCGGTCGATGTCATGGCCTGCAAATAGTCCAGATCTCAACCCAGTTGAAAACCTGTGGTGGAAATTGAAAAATAAAGATCCATAAGAAGTCTCTGACCTGCAAAGCTGATCTGGCAACTGCTATCAAAGAGATTTTGCACCAAATTGATGAAGAATACTGTTTGTCACTAATCAAGTCCATGCCTCAGAGACTGCAAGCCATTATAAAAGCCAAAGGTGGTGCAACTAAATCCTAGTGATGTATTTTGAATGGTCTTTTGTTTATCTGTTTTTCATAATTCCATACTTTTTCCTCAGAATTGAGTGATTCCATGTTTTTTTCGCCTGTGCTTGGTCAATAAAAGTAGCATTCACTGACTTCCACAATGTTTTCTCTTCATTTCTTTGGGTGTTCCTGAAAGCCAACAAGTTGCACTTTGGAATGACCTTATTATTGTATCATGCTTTTGATCCGAGTTTGTTTTACAGAATGAAATGTCTGAATGAGTGCTCATCCAAGACTGGTGACTCCATACTTTTTTCCAGGGGTTGTAAATTCAGTTTCTCTCCCCCTTCACATAAGTTCTGCATTTGGGTCCAATCTGATCACAAACCTACAACTATGAACAGTGCACTGAGCTTGGGAGCTCATAATGGATCTTACTATCTGGTTAGCAAGAAAATAAATGTGGATTTGAGTATCTTTCATTGACCTTTACACCACCATCAGTTTTGCAAAACACTGTTATTTGCATCAAATTAGGTGAGTTTTTGCAATCAGGAGCAGCAACAGCAAGTAGCTGTAAAGCTAATTTTATAGACTATTAGATAGGCTRATCTTAGCAGATCAGTTTGCTTCAAGAAGAAATAACCCAAGGACAACAAAATTAAATCTAAAAGTGGGAGGTGGAGAAATAAGCAGATATAGTGTTTTCATTAAAACGTTTGCAGTGTTTTGATTAAAATGTTTGCAAAAATTGCATTTTGTCAAAATATAGTGAATATATTGCTTATTAATGTATCATTCAAATGAATTGTCTCTAATATAATACTAAAATTTTTTTTGAAGCTTATTTTTGAGCAGTAGCAACAAAAAACAGATTTTGAGGAAAAACGCCTTAAATTATTTGTCCCTGCGAGCTAGCAAAATTTTTGTTTCTTCCCATCAGGGAAATCTCAATATTCAAATACTATTTGAGGTTTCAATAAAATTACATTAAATTATGATTCAGACCTAATTTTAATGTACAACCGTAACCAACAAGATTAAGTCATTTCTCTGGATCTACTTATGATATCAGAATGATCCAGGCATCAGAATGTAGCTTTTAAAGTCAGAAATCTGATTAGTTCATTTTCACCAAATTTGGTCCTCATTTTGATCTGATGGGTTACCAGTGACTGACAACTCCAAATGTCTTTACACAACTTTACAGTGGTTCATGCAAGCAGTAATGTTTATAAAACTTGGTTATTTTGATAGAAAATTGCACTGAGAATAATCCTAGGCTGCACCGGAAGTGCTACAGCTAGCTACCATTGCCTCTCCTTACAAATAATCATGTATTCTACGGAAATAAGCATGCAGTCTAAGACTGGTGACAGAGTAAAGACTTATGAAACTGTTTGCACGAAGCACAACATGATTTTATTAAATTGACAGTAATTTGCCTGGACCAAAGGTTAGCTTGTCAATAAGGGTTGCACAAAGAGCAATCTACAACAGATAAGGAAATTATTTACAATTTCTCAACAGAATCCCATTTCTTATTAAATCAAACTTAGTCCAACACAGCAATCACTTCACTTAGTGACAGATCGGACCCAAACGTGACATTGGCACAAACAAGAAAACGTGCTGCTCAGCCCACTGGGATGCTTTTCTCTTTAGCTAAAAGAACGACTGACCTGGTTTGAGCCCGGTTTTATGTCTGCTTTTTGTTTCCCTGCAGATTTAGACTTATATTGTTCTTAAGTCTTCTGTGAGGTTGTTTTGTTTCAGCAGGAGTTAAATACAGATATGTTGCTAAGCATTGTCTATAAAAAACAAATCAACACTCGGAATGAAACTGGATTTGGTACACTGTAATGACCTACAAAAAAATCCTTAATTAGCCGCTCAGTAAGTTATTTACATGTTCTTCTTGACACAGTATGGGGTGTTTTGTTTCCATTTACTGTATTTCTCTTGCAGCTTCATCATGGTGTACAAAGTAGCAGTGATCGGGGCGGGACCCTCAGGTCTGACCAGCATTAAAGCCTGTCTGGATGAGGGCTTGGAGCCGACCTGCTTTGAAAGCAGTGATGACATGGGTGGACTGTGGAAGTTCAAGGCAAGACAGTTTTGAAGGAAACCTTCAGATCGCAAGTTCTTTTTTTGAAGATCGAAATAAGCAATCGAGATTTCCCTATAACTTCTGAACATCAATTGCTTGACACCTCTGCTTTGCAGGAAGTATCAGAGCCCAACAGGGCCAGCATCTACCGCTCCCTAACTATCAATATCTGGAAGGAGATGATGTGCTACAGTGACTTCCCCATCCCAGCTGATTACCCCAACTACATGCACCACTCTAAAATCCTAAAATACTTCAGGATGTATGCAGATCACTTCAAGCTACTTTCTCACATACGCTTTCAGGTAACAAAAGAGCAAATTTGATTTAAAAAATTTTTCTGCACTCTTAATACATTGTTTGACCTGCACTTTTTGTTGTTGTTTTTTGTGTTAGACCTCAGTGAAGAGCGTCACCCAGAGACCAGACTTTWCTCRCACCGGTCAGTGGGAGGTGGTCACAGAGGATAAAGATGGACTAGAGGAGAGGCATGTCTTCGATGCAGTAATTTGCTGCTCCGGTCACTTCAACTATCCCAACCTGCCACTCAAAGACTTCCCAGGTATAAATGCACAATAGCCTTCCTACATGGGTGACAGGTGTGGGTCAGATCTGGTACTGCTGGCTGACTGTTGAGATGGTAAGTAGTTTATCAACCAGATGTGAGCCAGGTCTGGCAATGATGGCATGGTTTTAAGATGGCATGCCACAACTGGCCCAGTTGTGGTTTGGTTTATGTGGTGCTGGCCCATTCAAACAACATCTGGGCCAGAAAAGGGCCATCATTCATTGTAGTTTCTGGGCTGAGAGTTAATACATAGTGTGACCTGTTAACCTTCGGGCATAAAATACCAAAATGCCTTAAAAAAGTACACACAAATTAAATGAAGAACTGCTTTTGAACCCTTTAGAGTAAATTCACAAGCTTTGACTCTTTTTAAAGCTAACAATCTGAATTTTTAACTACAGCAGTCATATTCTTTGTAACTGTAACTAGCATTTAGTATACTGAAGTAAAAATACAAAAAAATCAAGATATTTTTCTCCCTTAATTTTATTTAAAAAGTATTACAGAACATAAAGGGAATGAGGTCAAACAATTTTTACTTGGCTAAAATATTAATTCCCAACTATTAACAGTTCAAATTGGGTAACAGTGGCATGAAATATGAGTATTTGAGACAAAAGTACAATCCAGCATGTCCCATTTGCATATTACAGTATGTCCAAACTGTACACTTTGTCTAAGACACTGTAATTTCTAAATACTTCAACACAGAGACTTCACTCTGGGCTCAAATTAAAGATACCCCCCCCCTCCAAAAAAAAAAAAAAAAAAAAAAAAACACATTCTACTATCCATATTTACTCACAGCATGATTAAATAAAAATATTAATATTATGAAATATTAATACCATATGGAGTACATTCCACCAATTTCCACAGCCAAAACGGCCAAAACACAAATATATCCTTATTTTTTTTCGAAGCATTAACATTCCACACAGCTTATAAAACCACCAGCAGCGAAAAAATATTTGTTTTTCACTTACTTTTGATGCATATTCGTCCTCAAATATGACGAAATTAGCGACTCAAAATGGCTGACCGTAAGTGTTTTTATCCAAACATTTTTACTTCTCCTGGCCATAAAAAGCACTCTTTCATGTCTTGAAGCAGTCGAAACACTTAATAACAACTATATTTTCATCTTATCAGCATGTTTAGTCAGCAAACTGTCCAAAAAACAATGGGAAAAAAGTTTTCCTGTGAGCGTTGCTTCGTTTGGTAGCGTAGCACGATTGCCTAAAAATGACGACCAACTCGGTATTTAGCTTGTGCAGTCACTAAACAAAGTTCCCACCCCCTCAATATGTATACCAAATGAAAGGTACGGTGATTGGCTACACAGCTGTGCCATCAGAACAAAACTCGGAGCTGAATGGCCGATTCTACAGTCAATCTAGCCCAGGATGACGGAAACTAGAAGTTGGTCACTTCTCATATATTGTTGGCTCTGGACAGCTGATACTTTAACCCAGTTGGTCAAATGAGGTGTCAATCGAAAGAGGAGGGCCTAGACTGCCATTTTGATGCATTGAACACAGACATAGATAGATCGGAAACACAGAAAGACATTTCAAAATAAAATGAACCAAAAACGGCACGCGGGCGTTCCGCTGAATGTTAACAAGGTGCATGACTTGTGTAATTAGTCATGCCTAAACTATTTGAAAGTATATATATATATATATATTTTATGAATTTAACATGCAATTCAATGTATTGCAGGAATTGAGACATTTGAAGGAACATACTTCCACAGTTGGGACTACAAGGGACCAGAGGATATGTATGGTAAGAGAGTGGTGGTCATCGGCATCGGTAACTCCGGAGGGGACATCGCTGTGGAGGGCAGCAGAGTTGCAGAGCAGGTCAGGAAGTTTATTTGTCTCCCTCACAGCTTTTTCATCTACTATGAAATAGTGTTCTGACACTGTATAAGGCCTCAGAGTGTTGTTCCTTCTCCTCTACAGGTATATCTGAGCACTCGCAGTGGTGCCTGGGTCATCCGTCAAGTTTCTGATGATGGCCGGCCAGTGGACAGGTTCAACACACGTTTTATCCATGTCTTGTTCAAGCTGTTGCCCATGAGTCTGCTTAACTGGCTGGGTGAAAAAAAACTGAACGCCATGTACGATCATGCCATGTATGGGCTCAAACCAAAACACAGGTATGATGTTCAAAGTCAGGGAGTTTCCTTGTTTCTTTTTTATGTGCATTATTTAACCAAAACAACAAAAGAATTGTGCAGCATTGAAAATGTTTGTATTTGTATTGATTAACCATACAACATTTAGCCTCTAACTGGGAAAAAATCTGTAGTTATACAGTAAAACCTCATTATGATATCAGGTAATGGGTGGGCGAAAGGCAGTTTATTTTGAAGTGMCGTTCCTTGAAAAAAATATGAACATTTAATGTCTTTGAACAATCACAGTGTTATAATGAAAATCTGCTGCTCTGCTTGTTAAATAGGCTCTTCAGCCAGATTCCCGTGATCAACGATGACCTTCCCTTCAAGATTTTGTCTGGATCAGTCCTTGTCAAACCAAATGTGAAGGAGATCCAAGGGTCCACTGTGGTGTTTGATGATGGCAGCACTGTGGAGAATGTCAGTAAACTGTGCAATCCCGTCTGACATCTTAATTTTAGGAAGAAACTAAGGAACGGGTTCTTGTGTTTTATTTCCCCTCTTACAGGTGGATATGATTGTGTTTGCCACAGGCTACAACTACGATTTTCCTTATTTGCCAAACAATGCAATGTACAAGTCTGGACACAGAGTGGGCCTGTACAAACATGTCTTCCCTCCAAATCTGGAGCATCCCACTTTAGCTATTGTGGGTTTTATCCATTCTGATGGTGCCATTATGCCACAAGCTGAAATGCAGGCCCGCTTTGTCACTCGTGTTTTCAGTGGTAAGACTTCTCTAACCAAAACATCTGTACTTTTCACCTRAAGATCAAATAATTTGTTCACCTCTATTTGCTGTTTGTCTGGTGGCTGCATGTCATGTTTTTTGTCTTTGGCTCTTCAGGACATAAGAAGCTGCCATCCAACCAGACCATGATCAAGGCTGTTGAAAAGGACACCAGGAACATTGCAAAAAAGTATGATCAATGCAAAAAATACATTGATGTGCTATAATTCTAAATAGGTTGCTCTTGAGCATGGAAATTTTAGTAAAAATTACAAAGTCTGAGGTTGAGAACAAGCATAACACAAGAAAACCTAACTAGGGTGGGTGGGGGGCGGAACAGACAGAATGAAAGATCAATAAACATAAAACTGACAGGAAAAAAAACAAAAACTTGGGCATCAAATATTGTCCAACTCAATCATCTAAGAACTGCCCTAGGGATGTTCAAACTGGGTTGTGCAAGAAGGTGGGTGGCCAATCCAGCATGACMGATGAGAGGTGTCCCCTTGGACTCCCTCAGAGAAATGGAAGAATGGCACTGTGGTAAAGAAGGATATGGGAGATGCAGTAGCAAAGGCCTGCGTCACACCAAAAGATAATCATGCTGATTTTTGCCCTTCCGACAATCTTAAGGAAGTCCAGATTATCGAAATGGCTCTAAAGATAATCATAGTAGATACTCCCGCCGTGGGTGGTGAGTTAAGAATGATCTAATTGGCTCGGAAGGACGTCGGGACCGCTCCGGCCTCAGATCGGGGATATTCAACAAGTTTGATTTTTTGGCCYGATATCACATCGTGTGGCGTTCACCTGAGAACAAACGAGCCTGTTGAATGAGACGTGTAACCAATCAAAAAGCAAGGTGACATAAACACGGAGGGGATTCCAAAATACAGAAGACAAAAACACTGACATGACTCACCAGAAAGTCTGCTGGATGTTAAAAGTCTTATGGAATTGTTTTTCCTCTGGTAAAAATAGTCCACAAATGCACATGTTTATTTACTCTGAACTCATGTCTCTCTGGAGATCACGTGAGAGTTTTTCTCTGACATCTGAATTCTCGCAAGATTTCAGGAAGTTTCGCGTGATTTAATATCTGACATCTGAATGTTCATGAATGAAATATATGTCCGTGTGTGGTGTGTTGTCTCTTGCCGTGTGACTGTACACTACACACTGTAGGACCAAACCTGGTATATCCATGATTTTCTATCCTCATGTGTGGGCTCTCTCAGTCTTTGAAAATAGGCCGACTGTTTTAAAATCTTGTAGTGTGACACAGTCTTWAGGTGAACACTGCAGCAGACAATGGGAAACCAGGGGAAGGGGCTGCTGCAGACAAAGTGACCACAGAGGAGGTTACAGTGGGCAAGAATGACAACAGACTGCAACCAGAGGCTTGGGGCTCACCAGGCAAGTGTCAGTTGCTGGTAGTTCAGAGACAAGTGGGGGGCTCTGTCACATCCGATCCCCTCAGAGACACAGGAAGGTTAGGCATTACATCCGACTCCTAAACTACAGGGAGGTGGGGTGTCACTTTCACCCTCCACAGAGATACAGTACACGACGGTGAGACATCCAGTCAAACCCACTGAAACTTTGGCAGGCAAAGTGTCCTCACTGTCGACCCTCTCGTAAACCCTGATGATCAGGGAGCATGCAGCATTACTTTTGCAGCTGCTGATATGTGAACCAGGAACTGAAGCTTAAGGCCAGGGTTCATGCGAGTGGGAAAATGAAGACACAAATGCTGTGTCCTTTTGAAACACTGATGCTGGGACCAGCCCTGAATGTGCTGGGACTGGCTGCTCGGGGAGCTCAGGATTTGGACAGCRTGCCAGGGAACGATAAGATGTAGCATGGAGGTATGGAGGTTTATTGACCAGATGGATTCCCCAGAAAGGCTAGTTCCTTACCTCCTTGTCCACCAGAAGTTGTAATGATGAAATCTCCACCTCTGGGCTGTGGTGTCTCCGTCTCAGGGCAGGTTTACAGAACCTGAACATTTGAAAACAGCCTAGCCATAACCCCAACCCTGAACTGATAAAACAAAATGTGAGCTGTTCAAAATTGTTAAGCTTAGTAGTGAGCTAAGATTACCTAAATCAAAATTTACTCAACTGAAACAATTTAAAGTGCAGTGTTTTTCAAATTGGGGGCTGCCAGGGGGCGCTAAGGGGACTTCAGACAGCTGGAGTGATAATAAGAAAGCAGAGAGCAAAAATA